GCATGAACCTCGGGGAGCGAGAGATGAATTCTGCCTGGGAGCGTCAGGGAAGGCTTTTCCTGGAGAAAGGGACATTTGAATTGGGTTTTGAAGACTGAGTAGGTGTTTTCCAGGCTAAGAGGGGGTGCAGGGCAGTCATGACAGGAGAGTCAGCAGGCGCGAAGGTGCGGAGATGAGTAAGAGTCTGTAACTGTCCCCATGAGGACATGGCTTAGTCTATCTCCCACACGGTGCTGCAGCCCCTAGAGTGGCTGGAGGGCTCGCACCCCCAAGCACCCCCAGCTGCACAGCACTAACAGCCTCTCTGTTCTCAGCCCCAGGATGGGTACCGTATCGTCCAGCACCTCCAGTACATTGGCTGGCCCGCCTACCGGGACACGCCCCCCTCCAAGCGCTCTCTGCTCAAAGTGGTCCGCCGGCTGGAGAAGTGGCAGGAGCAGTACGACGGCAGGGAGGGACGCACGGTGGTCCACTGCCTGTGAGTACCGCGGCAGGGTCTCCAGGGCCACCGGGGGGGTGGGCGAACGACACCCCCGAGGATGGCCGCCGGCCACCCACACCAGTCCCAGGCGTGCCCTGGCCGCACCGCACCCCTTCAGCATCCCTTCAAGGCAACATGGGCGTGTATTCAAGGAATCACAGGCCTTTCAAGGACTAGGGTTGCCAGTTTGTGGCCCTGAACTAACGTTATAGGACCTATGGATCGATGCAAAACCTGGTGGCCTGTCCGCAAACGTGGCAGGTGGGTGGGGAGAGTGCCCCCTAGAGGAAGACAAGCCCCAGCGTCCCACAGGAGGTGTGATGCGTCCTGCCGGGCACAGGAAAGCTCAGGATGAAGTGGATTCCACTGAGGACATCCTCCTGCACTATCTCCTGAAGAAGAAAGGGGAATGCGCTGATTAAGGGAGCTTAATGCCAGGCAGTGTAAATGAACCACCTCATCCCCTCTGTGAGGCAGGCATTGTCATGTCATAGTGGAAAAACGGAGTCCCGGACAGGGTAAGGGATCAAGCAGTGACGAGAGGAGCTTTGATTTGAATCCACTGGCCTCCAAAGCTTATGTGCCGTCCGTTAACACACAGTGCCTCTGAGCAAACCAAAGGACTCCTCTGCTGTGTCTGCCTGTGGGGCATCTCACTATGGGCATAGTGAAAACCCATGGAGAGTCTGAGGGGAAGGCACTGCCTTTAATGGATGTGAAGGGCCCTTTTTCCCAAGGCACAGAGGCTCAGGCTGCCTGTGTTTATACTTCCATTACTGGGGTGAAGTGGAACCTTCAGCCCCTGTCTTAGAACGGGCATATAGCTGGGGCACAGAGATCAGTAGTCAAATAGACCCTGATGTCATCATGCAGGGTGGAGGTCAGGACCCTTCCAGGACTGTGGCTAACAAACTGTCATCAAGGAAATCCCTTAATTGGGTGAGCCTCAGTTTCCTCATTTGTCCAATGAGTATGTGG